AGAAGGGGAGAAAAGGACGATAGACGTTTGATAGAAATAAAAGAAGGAGCAAACCACACCAGAGCACCCGCCCACTGCCCGCTAAGTTTAGCAAAAGCACTAAGGTCAAATAAGTACCGGGAAGATTAGAGGTGTTACAAGACAGTAACAAACACACACACACACACACACACACACACACACACACACACACACACACACACACACACACACACACGCACACACGCACACACACACACGCACACACAAAGACGGAAGTGAGAAAAGGACGACAGATGTCTGATAGGAAAGATGGAGCAATTCACACTCTAGAGCACCCGCCAACCACAACCGCCGACCGATCGATCGTTAATGGTTTACGCCCCCGCCCCATTGACACAGTTCAGACCATTCATTATAAAGGCAGGCTACTACGATCCTGTCTGCCAGGAGCGATCCAGGCGGAGGGGGTGGGATACACCATCCCAACAGACAGACAGATGGAGATAATGTAGTTGTTTTAGTACAAGTTTTAAGGCACTTGCAACACAATAAAGCCATATAAGTGCCGAAGATTAGAGGTGTTACAAGAGAGTAACAAGCACAAAATAGAAGGCGGGGAGAAAAGGACGATAGAGATCTTCGATAGGAAAGAAGAAGCAAACCGCCAACCACCCACTGGTACTGCGTGGTTTACTCCTTCTTTCCTATCAAACATAATCTATCATCTTTATCTCCCCTTGTTCTTTTTTGTGTTTGTTACTCTCTTGCAACACCTCTAATCTTTGGCACTTATACTATGACCTTACTGTGTTGCAAGTGCCGTAAAACTCTTACGAAAAAAAAGGACATAATGTAGTCGGTAAAATAAAAAATAACCTCCCTACTAAAGAGAATAGAACTCATGTTGCCTACGTAGAAAAGGAAAAGGCGATGAGTCGCACCATTACACTGGCAGAACAGGTTCTTTTGAGTTTGACTTTTAGTTTTAGAAGAGGTTTTACGGCGCTCGCAACTACATAAGGTCATATGGGCGCCACAAGGTTAGATTTTAAGTTTTAGTAAGAGTTTTAGGGCACTTGCAACACAATAAGGTCATATAAGCCCCGAAGATTAGAGGCGTTGCAAGAGAGTAACAAACATAAAATAGAAGGAGGGGAGAGATAAGGACGACAGGTGTTCGATAGGAAAGAAGGAGCAAAACACACCAGAGCACCCGCCAACCACTCACTCTTTTGAGTTTGAGTAAAGAGATGCACATCGACACAATAACGGCCATTTAATGCAGGGAAGAAGCGAGACACACAGAGAAACAACGGG